ACACACACATACCTATCACCATTAGCTAGCATACCATATGCCTAGGGTCCATGGGGTTGGGGTCCATACTGTGGGAGACAGCTGGGAGTGAGTGGAGAGCCCTGCTTGAGCAGTGAGGGAGGTGGGGTGGGGTGGGGGGAAGAAAGACAGTCCCTGCTGTGTCTGCAGTCTCTGCCTAGGGCTAGGGTGACAGAGAGGTGGGCCCAGCCCTGTTCTCTGGAGCAGACAGCACTTTGTTGGTGGGGGACTCTGTTGTAACTTAAACCAGGAAGGGGTCTGGGACAGACATTGCATAAACCAGTTTGACCCAAATCAGTTAAGTCTGATACTGCAGTGTATATGTAATGTCTGTCCCTAGCCTTAGTGATTAGATCATTCACCCAAGGAGGGGGAATATTTGGTCCTAGGTCCACCTTAGCCCCTTAGGCTTCAAATAGACTTCTCAGCCTCCCAGTAGAAGACCCTAATTGCAGGCTGGCTGAGGGCACTTTCTTGTTGAAGTTGGGCTACTGTGCAGCTAATAATGCAAGATTCATAGGGCTAGAGAGATAGGAAGAAGGACCATGGCTTAGAAGCTCAGTAAGGTGGGAATTCTGGGTTTCGGTCACAACTGCCAACACTGTTTATGCATTTCATATTACAGAACCATTGGATAAAGGAGTGGAGAGTGAAAGAATCCTTTAAAAGATATTTATTAAAAATTCCTTTGGTTACTTAAGACTTTCCAGCTTCCTTCACTAGGTAGGCCAAAGACTTGCTTGGATTCACTTGATAGGTCAGTTGGAGAATTGGAAACGTGAGCCAGATTTGTGTATTTCTAGTCACAGGCTCTTACAAAATGATGCATTTCAGGTAGCTTGTTTTCAGTAGGAGTGCTGGTGGAGTACACTAGTTTTTCATGGCCTTTGAATAGTCAAAGTTCTGTTGATGAATAGTTTTTGAATTTCTCTTTTGGTTAATATTAATATAGGTTGTGCTTAAACCTCCAGAAAGAAGGTTTCAACCAGTGTCTTTCAGTAAGAAAGCTATAAGTAGAGGTGTAACAAGCTAGCTTTGTGCCCTGGCCAGTGGCTGCTACCCTGGTGCATGTACCCTCCACCCTGCAAGTTGCACTGCTGGCTGTAAAAGACAATAGCCCAAAATAAAGTTATTGAATCTATTCCAGAATTTAAACTGCCTTGGTGTGGAGACTTTGCAGAGGCAGGAGAGGGGGATAGTGTGAGTGATACAAAGAGAAACAATGAAAAAGCCAGAAAGCGTTTGAACAAGCCCTGGGAGTGGGACTCAGATAAAAAACAAGAAACAGGAGAAAGAGCTTTTGTGACACACAGTCTGAAAGATGTTTGGTGCTGTAAACTGTCTCTGGTGTTCGATTCCTTCAATGGGGAAGCAGTGGGGTTTATATGTTCTGTAAACAAACAGAACTGCATCAACAAATATCTGATTTCATCACTGATTTTTCCTTTTAATTGGGAAAAGCCTATAAGACCATGAATTTTGCTTAGCCAACAGTCATCTCTCACCATGTCCTAGTGTTCCTTAGATCTATGCCTAGCAAAGTCAGTATTTTGAAGTTGCTTAAAATTAGCCATGTTATATTAGGCTGTCCTGTATATATGGAAGTTTTTCTAAACTTCCGTTCTTTTACTTGTTATAAGTTATTAAATCATGTTGTTTGGCATTTAAAAATGTCACTGTTTGCAAATGAAAATCCATACCTATTTTCATATCATATTTACATGAATAGAAGACAACTCCCCAATAATTACATTCTATATATGGAGAATTTATAAATTTGTTGTAATTTTCCAGGTATAGAATCTAATTATTGGAGGTCTGTGTTGAATTTGTCCCCCTCCTACTGCTTCAGCAGAGAAGATAAAACTAGGAGGACAGGTGGCCCTCTTGCTTTCTGCCGCCTCCAGCTTATTCCCCCTACAGCCCCTTCTCCTCCTCCTTACTGTCAGAACTTGCTCTGCCTAAGCATGTGGAAGTGAGGGGCAAATTTAAAAACACTGACCTTGAAGTAAAGAAATAAACATACCTGTAGTAGTTCACCTATAGACAAATTACTACAGGTATCTATAGACTTAGTTCATCCAGAATTGATGCAGTTTACCATTTTTGAAACTGCTGCAAATTTTAACACATGTACTCCATAAACACACTTTTATGCAGCATTTTTGTACGTACATATATATAGTAGAAAGTATACATACTAGTTCAAAGCCAAAAGGCTCATCATGTTATAAATATTGGACGGGGCCTCGGCAGAGTGAACAGTATTGCAAGCCATACTGATGCTATGACCTGAACAGATCAGCACTATTCAGTCTGTGTGTGTATTCCAGATATCCGCACAAAAGATCCATGTGCTAATTAGCCCCCACTTACAGTTGAAACTGGGTATTCTTGTCACGAGTCCTAGTATTTTCAAAAAATTTATATACAGATGAGGTACAGGGTGAGCTTGTCTGGCTTCACCTCATGGAGAGCAGGGCTATATTAATCATATGCAACAGACTGAGAGAGAAAGCAGCAGAGAGATTCTAAGTGAACTGTATGAGGCCCTGTTTTGTGATGTTTGCCAGACATATAGGGTGTTTATAGATGTGCTCCTGGAGACTGGGGGTGGGGTGGGTTTTAATTAGCACAGCTAATTGATTAGCGCTCCAAGAGTTTTGCTAATTAAAGCACCCAGAGTATCACGTATATCAGTGTCCCTGCACCGCTTTGAATTAAAGATCATCCAGTGAGCTTTAGTTTAAAGTGCCCCACTGCCATTTTTCAGCATGGGGATGCTGATATGTATGATGCTGGAGTCTGCTGGAGCATGGTAATTACCATGCTTCAGTAGACTCAGTTGAGTCTGCTCCTACATGCTGTAATTGCAGCAGATGAGAGCAGCCTCTCTTCATGTGTATAAGAGGCCTCAAGGCTGGAGAAACCCCCCCCAGGAATGATTGGAAATGGGAAAGAAAGGTACAACTCGGCTGTGGGAGTGAAGAGAAGTCAAAATGTATTCAAGGTACTGGCTTATGATGACTTGAAAAAGAGTCAGCACAGAGGGGGACTGTATTCAATGGACACTATCATATATCTTATTTGGGTAGGTTGCACTGACCTATCTTTGTGGTGGATACTCATCAGCGTGTTTGCCTAACATGGACCATGTGTTTTGTACTCATGCTTAGTGTTGGCTGCATTTAATCAATTTTATAGTTGGTTTCCATTACTGACATGCTGCTTTTGTAGCAGTTTAATGATGGAAAGTGCATTTAATAAAGTTTCCTTGGGTGCACCTACATGTGCAACTAATGTGGAGCAATAAACTCTGGTGCACGTTGTGTTGGTGTTTATTGTTCCCCAGTGTGTCACTTGAATATGTGTCTGTTGAGCCAGGTCAGAGAAGCCCAGGATGGCAGAGCTGCCTGGGGCTGCTGTGACCCAGCTTAATGCTGTGGAAGGGCTGGGTGGGGCACAGGGGTGCTCAAGTGTGAGGCTAACCAGCAGGCAGACCCTGCACTGAAGCACTCTCATGCCCAGCCAGCCAAGTCAGCATCTACACGTGCATTGCTGGGCACAAAAAGACTCCACAGCAGGATATTACTCGTATTTAAAAGTACTAACCTGCTGCAGAGTTAATGAGTTTCCTGAGGTCTAATAGGGCTACATGTGTAGATGCCAATCCGTTTACTGTGGAGCTAATAAGACAACTCCACAGTAAATGTCTTGTGTAGACATGTCCCTTGTGTGCAAATATAAGACAAGAGGATTTTTTCCTCATGCTGATTCAGGAAAAAGTTTTGTATTTTTTTTAAAGTTAATATCGATTGTTTTTATCTGCTGGGTTGTTTTTGCCCTGATTCAAGAAAGTACCTATTCAGAGAAGCACTTACATAGTACAGGCTTATGTTCTATTGAAAGCTGTGGGACTCAGCTGTGCTTAAAGTTAAGCAACTCTTCAAGTATTTTTTTTCTGAATCAAGGAAATGACATTAAAATAACCACAGTGGATTAAGTCTCTTATTTGGTTTGTTTTTAATCTCTTACTACTTGTTCTTTGACATCTGCGTCTACAGAATTATTGGTTTGACTGACACAATTTAGAATCCTTTGTATCTCACAACGAATGGAATTGGCTTCTCAGTTATATTTATTTAGAAAAAACAAATCTCACTTGGGTTTTAAATCATAATTTGAAAAGATACCTTGCTGATGTTTTTACTGTGTTCAGTGATGGTTAAATGGTAGGTTGTTGTGGGACTGGCTTCTGACATGTATAGTACTATTTTTCATAAATATATTTTATATAGCTGATGTAATGTCTGAATAAATTGTGCAAAAATATTCAAGCAGCAATTTGAATTTAACCATAGGTATCACTAGAACTGGCAATAGGAGAAACAGTTATTGAATATTTTATTTTAATACATTTATAGCTGTGCACCCAGTTATCACCTAGTTCTCACTGTTGTGGGCTCACACAAAATCTCAGCATCTTAGGTGCTGTTAAACCTCTAAAAAAAGAATGATATTTGAAACCTAAAATTCATTTTGGGCCTGAATGTGAAATTATCAAATTGACACAAATCCAAATCCTCTTGAGCTATAGAGTGTTCATAATCTAGATAGGAACTTTGTACCTTGGGCACCTTAAGAGTAGAGAAATGTGGTTCTGAGAGTTAAAAGCAATAAAGGGAAATGTGATTGTTCTAACTAATATTCTGAAGCATTGTGACCAATTGAAGGCATAATAATATTTCTGACTGTTAAGGTTAAAAAACATACTTTGGCCATGTTTCAATATGACTACCTCAATAGATTGCATTCAGCCTTTCTTATAGGGAACTCTGAAAAGCCTTATCCTATATTATTTCAAAATCTAAGATGATTGGATGTTGTCTGCCAGTTAGAGCATATTTGGTTACAACTTTCATTTTCAAAGTTTTTCTGTGAACATATCATCTATATCATTCCTTCTTGTCTTTTCTATACAGGAGCCCTGCAAATTACCTCTTTGTGCTACCCACATGTAAAGCTGATCAAGGGTCTACAGCTTTTATGACTGTTGCAAAAATCAGACAAAGGGTACGTATAACAAACTTTTTATGTTAAGGATAGACTGGTAACGATTTTGAAACAAAATGATTTTTAAAGGCCAAATTCACAATAGTCAATTATTTCAGTGCATATTTTAGTACAACAAGCTTCCTTGTAATATTTCTTAGCACTCCTCTGAGAGCATGTCTACACGAGATGCTTTATTTGAGATTAGAGCTAATTACTATATAGTAAGCATCACCATCTACATATGCAGATGTTTACTATGCAGTAATTGTCTCTAATCATGAATAAATTTGCTACCTGCAAATGCAAGTAGCAAATTAACTCTCGATTTATGCATTGTGTGGTGGCACACATGTAGATGCCTGACCAGGAGCAAATTTGCTCCCAGTCAGCTGGGCAATGGGGTGGGACCTTGCTTCCTGCCCCTGGGAGGTGCATGCTACCAGGGCAGGCTCTGCCACCAGAACATGGGTGATGACAATGTCACCCTGCCACAGCAGCAGGGAGCTCCCAGTCCCCATTCAATGGTTGCAGGGCTGGGGCTGGGAGATTCTTATTTCCTAGCCTGAGCCCCATTGTTGCAGGGAGACCTAAGAGACCATGGAGCTGGTGCTGGGAGAGAAGAATCTCCCAGCCCAAACCCTGTGACTGTGGGGCTTGGGCTGGGACATTAGGCACTCTCAGCCCAGGCCCCGCTATTGTAGAGTAGGGTTGGGAGCTCCCTGCTCCCCACCCAGGCTTCAGTGGCAGAGCCTGCCCTGACAGCTCCTGGGGGCAGGAATCAATGTCCCAGCCCCCACCAGGAGATAGTTATCTCTTGGCCCCATGCTCCCTTCCAGCCCCTGGGCTAGTACCCAGGGGGGGTCTAGAGCTCCCTCTGGCTGCTGAAGAGGCCCAGCACAGGGCTGCAGGGAGCAGAAGTAGTCTGCTGCTAGAGGCAGCAAATCTGCTTCTGAATGCCTGCATGTGTAAACACATGCCTGGGAGAGTTTACTTTAGAGTACTTTACTTCAGAGTAAACTGCTCCCAGATTATTTGCATGTGTAGACTTGCCCAGTTTGTTACCTTCAGAACTGGAAGCACTATAACCATGATTGCATGTTGTTGTGGGCAAACTGATATTAGCATGCAAGCAGATTAATTAGTAGTGCTAATTAACCAATCCTCAATACAAAGCAATTGAAGCTGCATGTTGCTTCTTGATCAGGAGGTTATCTTACATCAGCAGCACAGTGTGTTTGTGGATGTCACTACCTGGTGTAGTAGGTTGTGTAGACATGTCCTGAATGCACACCATATTTATAATTACTATAAACTTGCAAAGTTTATACAATAATAATACTACTGCACTCTTCATAGGAAAGTAGGGCTAGAAGGAACCTCCAGGAGTCCAACCCCTGCCTGAGGCAGGCCTATCTGTATCCAAACCATCCAATACAAACTCATTGTCTAACCTATTAGCAAAACTACACAATCAACCTTGACACAACTACAAGACATGATACCATTTTTGCATTTTCCTTTGTGAAAATGTTAGTGTGCATTTTGCTTTGCAACTGTGCTATTCTGATCAGAGAGGTGTTTTCAGCCTAGGTTATCCCCAGAGGCTGGTCCTGTTCTATATTATGGAGATCCATAGCTGTTCTGTTCTGGAGATGGGAAGCCTTACATGACTAGAGGGTGATGCAATGCTGCCTGTGGAAGCAGGTAGTTCACTGAGTCTTTGACTGGGCAACCTTAATGTGCTTCCATTATTTTGGGCTCAGACTGTGAGACTCAGTTAAATGAAAAGACAGTGAGAAGTCTTCTTTTTTGGGTTTCTCTGTGGCACACAGCTTTCCCCTCAGTCCCTTGTGGGGTTACACTCTTTATTGCTTTTACCATATTAGTATAATAAAGGCTTAAAGATCAAAAGGTTTTTTTTTTTAAACAAAAACCATACGTTGAGAGAAGTTCTGTGCCCTGAATATCCTTTGAAAGGGAAATAATGTCAGCGAGATGGGGGAACCTGAGTATGGAGTGGCTTTCCTATATTCATGAAATAGGTGAATATTCAGCAATTAATGTTGAATATTAGTTTTATTTAAATTAAGTCAAGGAGACGTGTACCACACATTATTATGGCAATTACGAACTGGGTGGTTGTTGAACAGTTTTTTGTTTTTTGTTTTTGTTTTTGTTTTTTTTGGAGGTACATTTCTTGTACATGTAGTTAAGAATAATTTGTTTGGAAGAAATGAGGTTTGGATTCAGCCATGACTCAGAAGTAAAATATGAGTACGTGGGGAGATAAAGACCTCTATCATTTAAACCAAGTTACTAAAAAAAAAAAAAAAAAAAAAGTATATTCCTCAGTTTGATGATTGCTTTTACTTTTAAATTCTTTACTTCTAAATTTATCTGGGATAATGCAACAGTATAGCATAAGTTGTATGTCATTATCTAGTTCTTTAGTCACATCAATATGGACAGATTACATTAAATGAACTCCATTTACCAAAGCAAAGTAGTAACAGAATAATCCTCCCCAATACCCAATAACACAGACTTCACTCCCAGTGGAACAAATTCACAGACATATAGCACTAAGGTTAATGATATTTTAGAATTAGCTGACAGAATGGTCTATTAAAATAATATGTTTCACTAAAAACTTTAAATGCTAAATGTCCATTAAAGTAATCAAATATTAATATGCCTCAGTGCTGCTCAAGGTGAAAGACAAAAATGAATGAAGAAACATATCAAGAATAAGGTAAATTGACATCATTTACGTTAAATGACATTGAATATATTGGCCAACAGTACAATACTGGAAACTAGACAAAGACATCTGTTATGATATTTTAGCTACTTTTCTAGAATCTTCTCAACTCTTAGCTATTCAGCAACATTCAAAATATTATATTTCAGTTTAATATGTACATAGACAGTTCCATGTTAACACTACCTTTAGAAAAGAGATTTTTTTTCCTTCTTCACACACTCTGTCACAGTACATATTCACTAAAAGGGATGAAGAAGACTTTACTAGAGTATTTAGTTTATTCTTGTACTTCATTTTTCTAGTGGTTTGTCCATGATTTTTTCCAAATATTTATTTAAGTGGGACTTCCACAGTCTAATACCTACCTGCCAAGAAGCATCTCTTTTTCCCTTTTCAATTTAATCTCATTGTGCAAAGTTAGCATCTGGAGGAGAACATCATTGGGCACTGAAACAGTAGAGACTCAAAGGAAAGTGTATCATAAAACCTATAGAATATGCAGTTTCTGTAGTGCCTGCAAGTTTTAAAGTCTCCCATCCAAGCCCAGATATAGCCAACCAGCTTGGCTTATTTCTGGAGATCATCACACAAATTGGTATAGGTATAGGTCCTATGTAAGCTTAAAGAAATGCCACTTTCAAAGGACAAGCCCATTTATTGTTAACAATTGTTGAGTACACAGTGATTGACAGTTTGTCATGTAGTATATAAATTGTTATTATCTTTGGCTTGTGACAATAATAAAAACAATGTGTAATGTTTGAATGACCCAGATTATTAAAAATAGTTTATTTGTACAGCTCTGATTTTGTTGTCATAGTTTCACAATCTCATCCATTGTTGATGTCACATCCTTAGGTTTCTGACAGGTGATACAATGAATATGTGAATAACTGGTTAATCATGCCTTAAGTTCATTCACATGCTCATTCAATTAATGGTGTGATAAAACAGGGAACAAGCCACAAAGTTATTACACAAAATAGGTTTAATAACATTGTGGCTGGTTCCCATCGCTTCTTAAAGTGAATGTGTGGCCGGTGCACTCAGCTTCAAGAGCACATCACAGTCTTTCAAGGCTCCAATGCACTCCACAAGGCGGGGAGCACTTGTCAGCTGACCAGGGCTTCCAGCCATGGGAGTGCATTAGAGCTAAATTTGCTACTTCCCAGTGCAATGGGCAGCTTGGGATCATGATCCCAGGGTTCCCCTGCACTGGCATCATGTTACAATTGGGATCTGGTCCCAAATCCCACAATTGTGCCTCCTGCCATGCCTGTGTAGAATGGCCTGCCATGCATGTATACTTTGTTCTGTTCATCTTACATCTGCTGCAGATACACAACAGTATTTTTCAAATGGAATAGGAAGCCATGTAATGTAAAGTAATAATCCCTATTTTTTGCAGTAAAGAGCAACAGCTGTCTGAACATCTCCAAATGGTAGAAAGGCTTTCCTTTGACCAGGGTCAACAAAGAACTACTGGACCATGGAGATGTGATGTTTACCTGCTCTTCTAGAGTAAGCAGGAAGGAATGATATTTTCATATTTTAGTAATGTCATGGATGTCTTCTGGTCCTTCAAACACTGCAAAAGCACAGCGATGGACTGACCTGGTTTAAAAATATGGGGAGAATTTTTATGACCCTTTTGTCACAAAGGTCATAAAAAATTGTCCAATAAACCAATCGACTCTAACTGGTAGGTTAAACATAAGAGCACTATGAACTGTTGGGAGGGAGGCTGAAAGACAACATTACTGAACCATGTCCTAAAACCAGTTTGCCTGAAGATTTTGAACATGGACTTATGTTTTTCCACATTTGAAGTAGGGTTATCTGTGGATAAGCCTTGCTTGTGCTCTTGCTGTGTTAAACTTCTTTGTTCAAGGGTAAGTAGGCATTATGTACAGACAGTGAGTTAAACTAAATAATATCTGCATCCACTTCTCCAACAGAGAGGGATTAACCAAATACTGGCATCTTCCTGACCTCTCAAAAGCTGAAGAAATAGGAATGGGTGGGGGGAGGGAAATGAACTATTGAATTATTAAATGACTTCCAACATTCTTCTCCTGACAGCATTTTTCATAAAGTATTATGTATTCAAAAATGTGTTTAACCTCTAAAAGTTAAGCATAACCATAACTAACAAGGTAACTTTTTGCAAGGGCTGAAGGGCTGACTAAATAAATTACTAAAACATTAATATATACAATATTTTCCTTTTTCTACTCTTTCTGTGACTGGTCTAATTTAAGGATAGATCCATAAAACAGATGTGTGGTTGGACTCTAGCACCTGCACAACATCTTATTAACTTCACTGGGACACTGCATGGGGTCTATCATGCCTCCATGACCAGTAAATTGCACAAGACCTAAATTTTGACTTTGCAATGAGGGTACTCACAATACATAAATTTAAGGATATGTGCATGTTGCTCCAGGCCCAGGACTATAAGCTTTTTGGGGCAGAGGCCACTTTCGAAAGTTTTGTAATAAAAGTAACATGCATTTAAAATAATTAAACTTGACCATTTTAAACAATTGTGGATGGTTCTGCTTTTAGCAAGGGATTGGACTAGATGACTGGATGATCTCTGTTCAGCCATATTTTGCTACAACTGTTATCTGTATGTTCACTTTCTTATAACTTGCTCTGGCTGAAACCAGAGAGCCTTGCAGAGGGTTCTCTGGGCTTTGGCTCAGAGGTTTGGATCTGTGTTAGTAGACTCTGAGGCTAGATTGGGGCCTTATAGTTTAATTTTTAGCTTCTTTCAACTTCAATTTCCCCATCAGAAAAATAGGGATACAATATTCATTTTTGCATATCCAGTTCTTTGAGATTTTTGAATGGGAGGAATTATGGAAGTGCAAAGGGATCTCATTAACAATAATTGTACTTCCGGTCCACTTCCAGGTTTGCCGCGGAGCACATGGAGGGCCCTCTGTACTCCTGTGGGACACAATATGCGCCAGCATTCATGAACTATGCAAGGTATGTAGAAAAAACTTTTAAAGCTGTGCCTATGTCCAAATTGCTGATTCTCTGAATCAGCATCGAATCTTCAGATTCGGATTCAGCCGAATTGAATCGGGGACAGTGATCCAAATCAACTAATTGAATCACTGTCCCTGATTTGGGCCAAATCCGAATCTGAATTGAATAGGGCCCACTTCGCACACCCCTAGTAATTACATGAAAATGTAATTGTATGTATTAATTTTTTCTTGCTTTTAGGAGGAGACAATACTGCAATGTTGACAGTTATAAACAATTTAATTGCAACAAATAATAATGCTGAAAACTTAATCAAGAACAATAGATGAATAGCAGAACTGCAGGAGTATACCACACGCTGCTAAAATGTGAATTTACACAATACCTTGCCATTGGGCTTGCCTGGCATTCTGGGAACATAGCAGATGTCAATTTACCTGTGTAATCACAAGATAATTTAGTACAATTAGCATGTGAAATATTTCAATATTTCTCTATAGCAATTTCAATATTTCTCTATAGCAAACTCATAATTGTAAAGTAAATGTGTACTTACCAAGATGTTGCTTTGCCCCGAGTGGTCATGTGTGAATGCTCTCTACCCTGTCATTATGCATCTGCTCAAGAGTGCAGAGTTGGTGAGCTTTAATTCAATATGTTGATAAGTGTAATGTAATGCACAGTGGAAGGTGAAGTTAAATACTTCATTGCCTTACTGCCTTCAAAATTAACAGCATCAACTCAGGAAAGGGACCTGAGCATTGGTGTGGGCTGCTCATTGAAGTCTTCTTCTTGCTAGGTACATGTAGTCAAAAAGCAAAGAAAATACATAGGAGAATAACAAATGGAAGCGTAAGAAGGATGGCGTATACTGATCATGTATAAATACCATATTTCATGCTGTATAAGTCTATGTGCCCCATATTTCTGATAAAAAAAGTTAGGATTTTCATAGATCTGATGTATAAATAGACCCACATTTTATAATGATCCATTTGTAAAAAATTCCATGTACATTAAGTATTGTCTTGTAGCAGGAAGAATTCAGGATGAACAATAGTCACCACGATTGTTTCTGATGATGGTCATGCTAACTACCACAAGCTACAGGTTGCATAATGAAGAATTTCATGAACACAATTTAAAATCCCTGCCATTTTCATCCTCAGAAGTGTCAGCCCCAAACAGTTCCATCTAATCATCCAAATGATTAATTTGATCATCAGAAGTTTCAGTTTCATTTTGTATCAGAAGTTTCATGTAATTAGTGTGACTAACCAACTTCGAAACAATATTTTTTTAGTTCAAAGTATTTATATGGTGTAAAAGTTGAGGTGGAAATTTAAGGATAAATATTTGGCTTCAAACTTTGACTTGTGTATCATGAAATATAAGAAATATATATATAAATATATGTAAGAAATATATATAAGAAATATATAATATTATTGTATAAATGCAAAGTTGGCCTCACCTGGATTATGACTGTACATTAGTGGTCACCCGCACATGCATTATAGAGTGGCATTTGCAGTGAGTGATGAAAATATTTAAGGATTTGGAGAGGTGCTCTTGTGAAAAGAATTCAAGAAAGACTGGGATTGTCTTTTATGTAAGAGATGAATAAGAGGTATGTGACATAAACTTAAGGCGAAGAATATATACAAGGACTGGTACAGTGTGATAGGTTGAATAAGCCCTAGGCTGTAAAGGCCATGAATGTGTCAATGCATGAAAGAGCTGTTTCTCCAGCTGTAGTTTAGGAACTAAGTGATAGCAACAGGGATAACAGCCTGCAGTCAGGCCGGGTGAGGTTGCTGTCAGAGAGGCTGTGGAAGCCTCAAGAAAGCTCATTAAAAATATTCTGGCAAAAGGATATCCATGGAATAGACCAGGAAATTGCAGAAGGTGGGTAGATGAGCCATAACAAAGAGCTACAAGGTATGACACATAGGACAGAAGCCCAGGAGACGGATGTCTTGAGGGCCTAAGTGCCCTCGAATAGCCATTGAGGGAGAGGTTGAGGGACTAAACTCCCTTATATATAGAAATGACAGCAGGGACTTCTGTTCCTTTTCTTTCATTTCACAATAAGGGGATGGTCAATTATGCTGAGCTGTGACAGATTCAAAGGTGATGGTTTTTGGTCAATTATGCTGAGCTTTGTGACAGGTTCAAAGGTGATGGGGAATAGAGCTTCTTGTCATGGGATTTTCTTGAAGCAAAGAAATTAACAAGATTTAGGGGGAATGTAAACTCATATAGATAATGTGTCCAAGGTTGTAATAAACTAAAAGAGCATTCTGGAAGTGATATAATTATGTGTGTTAGGGTGTAAGTGAAGCTCTAAGCCAAACTGCTAGGAGGAGTTCTCTTGGGGCATGCCTGGTAGAGGATTATTCTAGATTGGCCGAGTGGCCTAGATTGGCCTAGGGTGGAACAGCAAGGAATTAAGCTGCTGGAGCTTGAAGGCCTAAATTGGCTTCCTACTGTCTGTGTTTGCCTTCCTCTGGAATAGCTGGTCCTGGTTATTGTTAGATAATGTAAGCATAGATATACTGTGAGTCTAATCTACTGTTGGTATGTACTTAAAAGGCACTGTTATTTGGAAGTTTAAAATTATGTGTGTGTCTATTTCTAGTTCCTGCTTCTATTTCACTTCCTGTTTCTGTTTAGAGTCATACCTGTTGATAAAACTATTTCCTACTTCTGGCCGTTCACACCCACGAATCACTTTGTAGGTTACACAGCCTAGAAACAGTATACTTCTAAAGAGTTCATGAACAATTAATGTGATTCAAGTGGACAGTCTCAGTGAAGCTTTTGCATTTAGATTGCTGTTTCACCAAGGTGCACTATTCAAATACTGTCTTATCAAGCCAAAGTAAAAGGAAATCATAAAATAAACTGGCTTCTCTAAGGTAATATATTCCTTCTGACTGTTATTTTAAAGGTGAATCTCCCATTTCGTAGGATGTATAACTTAAAGGCTCTTTTGCTGTTGTAGCAAGTTTGCTGGCATGTACTGATGTTCAGATAGAACCGGAACTCATTGGCGTGAGATTCCTCTCAGAAGGGAAGTTGTATGTATTGGAGTTGAGGTGGGCACATAGTCAGTGAATGTGAATGTGAAGGAACAATGAGGAATGAAGCTGTGTTGCAGCTTGAAGACTCTTACAGTTGTTGGAGGTGTGATAGTATTTGGGTGTAAAGTCTAATACTCCTCCTCTATCCCCATTCTCAGCTGGCAAGTTTTCTCATCTGAAGCAGTAACTTGATCATCTCTTTGTCATCTCTGGTTCCCATACAGGGTAAATTTGCATTGTGGTATTATGCACCTGCCAGTTTTGGAGATTTTTTTTTTTACGTTAATAGAAGCCCAGATTTGTATGGAATGTGACTTCTGTGTTGTACTAGGAATGTCAAGTGCTTGGAGGGAGGGAGATGATGTGTCTGATGTTGGCTTTAACCAGTACATGGAGGGTGATATTGCTTCCAGAGAATCCAGCAGAGACCATCTGTTAAACCAAGCTGGACTGGAATGCTAAACCCAGATGGAGTAGTTTACCCATTGGCAAGTTCTGCTACATTTGTTTAGTATAACCTATAGCGATTTGCTACAAACTTATTATTTGTCTGTTGAGGAACTTTCAAGCCTTATGAAGAGTTTGTACTTTTCAAATATTGCACTGGTGGTACTGCATAAGATTTTTGCCAGAGAGAAATCTGCAGTGGGAGAGGACGGGGAAGATTTTTCTTTCCTCAAACTAGCTTTGCAATTTTTGTTGAAAACTACTGCCCAGATGAAAAAGCAACCTGTTTTTTGGTTTGTTTCAATGATAACATTGGATGCTGTAATGAAGCACAGCAGGTAGGAAAATCCTACATAGATTTCAAAAGAAAATGCTCATCTGTTCAATAAAGCATATTTTAAGGTTGGCATTTTATATAACGCGATTGTTTTTTGTAGGAGAGAGCTGCTGCTTGATTATTCTGGATACAGTGTGGTGCCAGGATAAGTTTAATAGAATAGGTCTGCCAGCTCGAAAGAACCTATCACCACCAGACTACAAGTAACAAGAAAGTATCTGCATGTAGTCCCCCATATAAATGTACATAATGATAAAAAGGTTTAATGTGAAGCAAAAGCCAACAGAAATGAACGTGTAGGTAAGTATCCCGGTA